TTATTTCATTAGAAAATATTGAGTATGCGTTTTCTTTAAGTATTTGCATGCTTGTTGCAATTTTAAAGTCTGCATTGCGCATGTCTCAGTTGTTAAACCGCGAATAAGCGTTATGTGAGGTCGCGAATATTGGCTACCTAGCCGTTCGAGGACAACCAAATGGGAGCAGACGGAGCGGAGAAAAAGCTTAAATATATTATTCGTCTCTTCGTTTTTCCCTGCCATTTACAAGGGGAATTAAACTGAGTGGAGTGCAATTAGATCATACGCGTGATCTCAAAATCAAACGAGCACTATGGACTAGTTTGATTTTGAAAGAGTGAATGCATCTAACGCCTTCTCATTCATCTTCCAGTCGCCCTTGCGTCTCAAAAACATCAGTTTCTTCAACCTATCCATGGTCAATTATCTATTTCCGAATGTGTTCATTAATTGGGACAATTTCAACAAATCGACAGTGGTTCAGCGTGGTCTGTTCTCTTATCGACAACGATGTCCGTCATCACAGCGGTCAAAATGTTGTGGACTTAAGAGTTGCAGCCGATTGAGTCCACAACATGTCCTCCGTGACGAAAAAGATCGTTTTCGATAAAAATGCAGATCCCGCTAAAACCGCTGTCGATTTGTCTTTGAACTCAATTATCGACGTCAAATATGACGGTTCTTTCAATGCGTGACACGTTGCATGACAAGTTGATGGAGCAGCGTTGTCTGTTCTCTTATGGGTAGCGGAAAATTTTCTGACTTCCGCTCAGGTTGTGGAAACGTCAGTCACCACCACCGATAACAATCTTCTTAAGGAATAACTCACCCCGATTCTTTCAATGCGTGACACGTTGCGTGACAAGTTGACGGAGTAGCGTTGACTGTACTCTTATCGACAACGGCAAATTTTCTGGCTTCCGCTCAGGTTGCCGAAACGTCAGTCACCACCACCGACAACAGTCCGTTTTAACTCACCCGGACGATTGCACTACACTCCACAAGGGCAAATTGGCGAATCAGATTGCGACATTGCTTGCCAATTATTCATT